AGATTTTGTGATACTCTTAAAGCACCACAGAGCTCTTCTCTAGTTATCGTGCCAGAGACCAGACAGAATGAACAACGCTACTGAGGAGCATCCAGGCACATAGAAGAGGCCCTGAAGGGCCAATTCTCCAGCCAGGCAGAGCTGCCAGGAGGCTTCAGCCACAGCGTTGCTGCTGGGAATCACGGCAGTTTACCGGATTAGAATCAGGGGGATAGATTTCTCTTTGTATCTGGAAAAAAAAAACACTACAAAATCTTTCTGGATTAAAGGAGAAGGTAGGAAAACATCTCTCAAGATAGAAATAATGCTGCTGGCCACCTCAGCAGACAGTAACTTAAGTCTTTGTTTACTGGGTGGTGTTCTTGCAGTCTCCTCATGTTTGTTTAAGAAGCTCCTGTATGTGAGAATTTTTACCAACCTAAGTCAAGCTTGTTTTTCCTTCTGAAGAAGAGCCGAGAGCTTGCTTCTGGGACTAGAAGTGGAAGGCACTGCTGCTTTGTGGATACTTTGGGGAACAGATAATCCTCTGGCACAAGGAATTGGCTTGGTTGGCCCGTTTCCCCAATTCTACAGTTTATTCGTGTTCAGGCATCCTTGAGTCCTTGATTCAACAAACCTCAGAGAACAACCAATTGCTGCCCAAACTCCAAAACCTTTCCATCACACCACTAAAAATTATTCCCATGCTGAGAACAATTACGTTTGAGAAACCAACAGCAGCAAAAAGCTGTTTTCAATAAACAGTTGTGATGACTGACTCCTTACAGGCCAGCGTAGCCCTTTTTTCACAGCAAGGGCACACCACATCGCTCACAGACATTAAAATTGGCCAAATTCCCAATCTTGAGATAAATGCTTACAAATTAAATAAAAATATTCACGAGCTTTGAAAGGAAAAGCAGCGAAAACAATCACAATAAAATTCTTAGCCCAACCTGCTGATCAGGTTGCAGGTTTTTTTCTCATCTATTCTTTATTAACCAGATTCAGTGAAGGCAGAGAGGGGGAAAAAATGCCAAGGAAAATATTTAGCAGGAAAAGGTAAAAGACAGAGCCAGAGCCTTTCTGTACTGGTTATGCAAAGAAAAGATATATTAAAAAAAAAGGAATCACGAATGACTGTAGGAAGTATCCGTGGTTTGTTTCTAATCAGCACCTCTCACTTGTTCCACCTGCTCCTACGTAACTTCAGAGATTTACAATAACTATTTGCAGTAGGCAGCAATTTTATCTGGCTTTACTAGGGATTTAGTCATTACTGTAAAGCTATAGCAGACTGAATATTAGAACACTTATGAGCATCTCCAAAGCCGAGGTGAACAGTTTCACACTTTCTGGGAGAGAAAAGCAGCACTCGCAGAGCTTCCACAGAGCACGGACTGCCGCGACCTGCCAGCAGGGAGCCGAAGAGAGCCTTTGCCATCTCAGCAAGCACTAGGAATGCTGGATCTGAAGCATTTGATGGGTGCATATTAAGGGTTTTGCAATGACTGGCTACCAAATAAATAGCCATGGGGCACTGAGCTTTTCTTCTTGTCTCAGCTTCATATACACCTGCCAGAACAGCTTCCCAGAAAGCAGTCATTTAAACCCACCTCTGATTTCATCTGGCCCTCCAGGAACAAGAGGTACCCGGTTCGAATCAAGTAATACCAATATACTTGAATTTGGTAACAGCAACCAACATTACAAACATCAGGAACATACTAACTACAACCACGTTTAGACTCTAATTCTCCCAAATCACTTCAAACCTACATGGTTACCCCATATCAAAAAGGATTGGCCTCAGGTTCTTGACTTCAAGACCTCATCTCTTTAGCTACCAGGTAGCACATACAGGGCAGGAAAACTAGGGCAATGGATTTCAGACCAAATGATAGACAGTTTCTCTGTCAGTATTGGGGGAAAGGAAAAAAATAGAACTAGGACCCACTCCGTAATCACAGAACTAGTTTTTCCCTAGCTATGCCCCAAACTATGCCTCTTTCCGAAATATAACACGGTCCTGAAATCAAGTTATAAGCACACCAGGACATAACAACGGAATAGCTTCCTCCAGACTGTCAACTTCTACAGCTGATCTGATCTGGCAATGACTAGTACCAGTAGCTACTGCTGCTTAAGTGACCACACTCGGCTCTCCATGCAACAGAGGAAGACTCATCTTTCAAACACTCATAAAGCAGTCAAATTCCATTAAGGCTAAGGTCTCCGCCAAGTAAGACCTGTCTGCCCAAATCTCTCTTAATGCTTCCTCAAAAGTAATGACAGACAGGCAGATCTGTGCTCTTTTCCATTCCTGCAAAATACGTCTGTTGTCACCCTCTTATATGGATGATATGAGAGAACAAAGAATTATTACCTCTGTTTTAAAACAGGTAAATTGAAGCACGCAAAAGAAAAACGGCTCGCATTAGGATACACAAATCAAAGGCTGAAGCCAAAAGAAAACCCTGGCTGCCTCATTTCCAGTCAAATACTCCAGCTTAGAGATGTTATGCAGAGGCCTTTCTGCATTGTTTTGTAACATCTGTGTGCAACTGAGAGATTGGCTGAATCCTGAATCCTTCAAAAATTTGTATAAAGAGGGAATGCACGGACCTGCAAGGGGCTCCCCTCTTCCACACCTGCCCCTCGGGATGTCAGCGTGCATGAAATTCAGACTGTGCAGGACAGAAGAGTTACGGTGAGAGCAGCAGCAGAATGGACCCAAGTCCACAACGGGGGTGCGAGCAGGGTGGCTTTTTGGGGCAGAGAAGCCGGAGTCTGGCCTGTCCTGTTCTTTGTTCCAACTTTGACAAAAACATGTTTCTCATCACAGGAAGCCTGAGAAGAATTTGCCCCTGGGAATGACAGAAGCTCCAGCTGGAAGAGGGCTCAGACAGGATTAGAGGCAGAACAAAAAGGTCAGGCTTTCATCCGTGTGCAGTGGCACTTTCTGGTCTGAAGTATAAAAAGCAATTTTGCTATGGAAGGTTTCTGGAATGTCCACGACAAAAATGTGACTGAAGCCTTCAGTCTGCGGTGGAGGTGTCCTCAGTACTTTAATAAATTGTACTTGCATTTCTCCGGCAATATCTCAGGTCACTGATACCACAGCTCATATGCCACACTAGACAGGTTTCTGCCCGAAGCCCAGCACACAGGCAGTCACCTACAACAAAACACGACACTCACACTGCCTGTTTGGAGACCTCCAGTTCTGACCTCCTCCACAAGATCCCCTCTTCCTGCTCGAAGAAAATTCAGGTTTATGAAACAGCTGTATTCATACTCCACCCCTTCAGTGCATTGATGCTTCTGTCCCTCTAAAATTTTGCACCCTGTCAGGTATCTCCTTACTTTTCTGCAGAACAACTATTAGCCAGCTGTGCCGTAAACCAGAGGCAGAAATAAAGCATCTGGCAACAAGTGTAACAAAGCTAAGGAGGAGAAGAAACCGTGCCAACAAGAAATTGCACCTTCTATTTCTCATATTTAAATGGGTGTCAGATCAGTAAGGCTTTTAAAATCTTTTCTAATTAAGCAGAAATCCTGCAGCCACTTTGGACCAGCAAAAGACGTCTAGACAGGATAGCATGTCTCAGCTGGGTTTGTCATAATTTTCTTCGTAAAAGGAGCAGGATTAGTTTTCTTTTGTTTTCCTGAACATCAAGAAGTTTTCATGGCATTTACCCCCAGAAGCAGATATAGGGAGCCACTTACTCCTTCATTTGCATCTCATCTCTGCCAGTTATCACAATCGGAAATTTTACAGGAAGATGCAAGAACGCACATGTCGGGCAATTACAGAGCAGCTGGCCTGGAGAAACAACTCATCCGTAAGGATCTAGACCAAAAGTTGCAGACCTGTTGCAAAAGGCTGCACCACTGCCAAAACGGTTCTACATTGGGATCAAACATCTATAATCAACTTTTGAACTGTTAAAAGATACAAAGAGGAGACTGGAAGTTAGTTGCTATCTCAGCCAAATGATACTTGACCTATAAGCCTTTAAAATCAACTTTTTATGTAACTGGACATTTTAATTACCCACAGATTTTCCTCTCTTAAAATCCTGTTAATAACTGGCCTCCATAATACTGGAGTTAGATCACACTGCCTGTAAAAACCTCATCTCTTGCCAATTTTAAGCAGACTGTCTTCCAATATTACTTGAGACCCTTCTGCTTGTCCACTATGAGCGAAGAGAGGCACAGGATTTGGCCCTCACACCTTGCAGACTTCTCTCCATCCCACCCTCAAATACCCCATCTCTAAGAACAGCAGCACCGAACTCCACACAGTGCAGAGATCAGTGTCCAGAGAGAGAAGATGCTGAACTGATGAACTTGCTGAAATATTATCTAAATTAAGAAATACTCCAAGCACAAAGGTACCCTCTGTGACTTGGGAATATACTAGTGGGACTTGCTGCAGCTAGGGCTACCTGCTAGGGAGCTCCCTTCCTTGGACTTCTATAAACTCATCCTGCCTGGACAGCCTTTTCACATTCTGGACCTCTAACACTCTTATGTTGCTGGAGTGCCAGAACTAGTCACCAAGAGGGCTACAATCCAACAGCCAATAATTGCTGGAAACTCTCCTCGTTTCCGAGCCCTCTCCCACATCCCTTCAAGACCGAACTGAGAGAAGTCTCTCCTGCCCTCTCCAACCCTTCTTGGCTGAGAGCTGTTCCAATTTCACCCCGTGAACACCTGATACGAACAGATGATCTGGGAGGGGCCAGAAAGCTGTTCATAGCTTCAGGGGGGTGGAGGTAAACAGAAAAAATAGTATATAAGATGCTTTGAGACAAACTTCCAAAGTGCCTCGACTCCAACAGGAGGGGGCTGAGAAAAAGCTACTTCTTCAGGCTCCACCTTCAGAGGCTCAACTCACTGGAAGAAAGCTAGGTACCAGGCTGCTGTAGCACTTGCAGAAAGTTTCCTACCTACCCCAGCTGCATTCAGATTACCCGCAGTCAGCTGGAAGTTTTCTGGTGCTGTAAGCAAAAATGCCAGCAAGATCCACTGCTCAGCTGGCGTGGCTCTGCCTCGTCACTGTCTCTGTGGCAATCTACCCAGCGCTGCTGCAGAAGCCTCCCAAAAGGAGAACGATCAACGGGAATGCTCAGCCCAAGGTGACAGGCTGCTGCGACGAGATTAAGGAGCTCAAGCTGCAAGTAGCCAACCTGAGCAGAATGCTGCAGGAGCTGAGCAAGAAGCAGGAAGGTGACTGGGTGAACGTGGTCATGCAGGTGATGGAGCTGGAAGGGAGCACCAAGCAGATGGAGTCCCGCCTCATCGATGCTGAGAGCAAATACTCCGAGATGAACAACCAGATAGACATCATGCAACTCCAGGCAGCTCAGACAGTCACACAAACTTCAGCTGGTAAGAAGGGAGCCACCAAGCTCCCCGATACGCTTTTTAATGCACAGAATGAACTAATGGTTAGTTCTTAAGGCTAACATGTCCCCCTAACGTAATTAGTAAGCATGCATGCTGAGTACTTCTGCTTAAAGTACTTCTGTAGACAGGTGGTCCTGAGAAAACTAGTTTGAATGCAGCTGTCAAAAAGTCCAAAGATCCAGCTGTATTTTAATAACTGTATGTCTGTCATCAGGGAGTGGAAAAACTGAACAGGTATTGCGTTTGTACAACGAGGAACTCACTTTAACATTTCATTTTCTGAGCACTACAGTACTAGTTCAAAAAGAAAAGGAGTTGGCTTTGTCAGGGAACGGCTCTGGCAGTAACATCCGCTGAGTTCACAGTGCTGACAGGGGACCAGGAGTTGGTAAAACAATTAGAAATGCTCTCCAAGTATTACTGGAGATTCGTAATTGTATCTTTATGACTATCTCGGAACCAGATGAAGAGAGTGATGCGTTATTTGAATGATAATTCTCAAAAATACCAGGCTGTAGATGAGTCAAGATGTAAACTCAGATATAAGCCTAGCCAGAACACAGTTAAATTGTTCAAAATCCTCTCTTCCCTGAGGGAAAATTTCACTGCACGCAGTGATTCCACAGGCCTGTAATAAATGTGGAATGCAAGTACATGTTGTAGGTTAGCTACCTGTAAAGCCACTTTCAGAAGAAAGCTTTGCTTTTGCTGACTTTTCAAGCAACAAGCTTAAAAATTCCTTAGAAAGAAAGTGCCGTTGTTGGGATGACTGGGTTTGCCAAAAGACTTCATGTGGGTGGTGGGATTTTTTGTTTGTTTTGTGTGTTTTTTGAAAATGAAAAACTTCTATTTATCAACAAATTCTTCTTAAAAAAAGTTTCACTTGCAGTTTTGACACACCACAGTTTACAGTAGGTCTTAAACAAAAAAAAAAAAGATAATAAATCTCTTTGGAGCTGTAGTAAAGGTTTGGAAAAATACAGTAACACACAGAAGAAACTGGCCTGGAAGGTATTTAAAGCAGACATGTCTCACCTCACCAGGTAAAAGCCATTTAGTCTGTACTAAACTGAAAGCTGTCAGAATGGATAAAGCCTTGCTTCAGCTAGTTTCATCTTCCTCAGAAGAATAGCTGTGCCTTTTATCTTCTTCAAGTCAGCTCCCGCCCCAGGAGGAATTCTGTGTGATTCTGTGAAAGCAGGTCTGCAGGGACTGACAGAGGATTGCAGCTAAAAGCCACTGTCAGATCCAGAGCAAAGAGAGCAGAGCAAATACACCTCACCCACCAAGTGGGCTAACCTGGTGAAGCACACAATGAAAACAGCAGGCCTAGTCGTACCATTAGATAAGGCTTTTTATTTGGGAGCAAAGATCTACCTCGTTACCTCCCAGCACAGACATACACAGCAGCAATGCAGAGCCAAAGCACAGATGTCGCTCTGGATAGGAGAAGTAAAAAACCAAGCAACAAAAATTACCAAGTCCTACTTCTAAACCACTTTTTTCCAGTGCACACACTCACCAAAACTAAAACCATGTCAGGAAAACATCAGGCTTGTGGGAAGTATTCTTTACTTAATTACTCCATGTTTTATGAACTAAGCTTTACGGAAGCCACACTTACAGGGGAGTTGTTCTGGCCGTTCAAATTCTTATTTTCTGGTTCTGATTCAAGTAGATGCTGTCTATGACTGCTCATCACTTTACCAGAGGAACTACCGAATCTCTGGGGTTTACAAGCTACCTCCTGATGAATTTTTGGGGAGTCCTGACCTGGAGGTAAGGGCATCATGTACAAAATGTATTTTTCATGTCTTCTTTAATACAATCAAAAAATACTTGTCTATCACAGAGAGTTACGATACCCTGCACTTTGAACCAGCCTCTTTATGTAGGCAACCTTCAAGGAAGGAAACTGTACATTTAAGAGGGAAACAGAAGAGGGGTTAATTTAATAATTTTTTTTCCATTATTTTTAAACAAAATCGAAATTTCTTCAAGTTCTGGAACTATGTCTTAAGAGAACTGAAACCTCCAAGTCTACTGACAAGTGAACACTGCCTTTTCTCCTGTTCCAGGTGTTCTGTGACATGGAGACAGATGGAGGTGGCTGGACTATCATCCAAAGACGTAAAGTTGGTTTGATATCTTTCAGTAGGGACTGGAAACAATACAGGGATGGATTTGGCAATATCCGGGGAGATTTTTGGTTGGGAAATGAAAATATCTACCGACTTTCACGACGCCCCACTGTTCTGCGGGTGGAGTTGGAGGTAATTAATAAACTTTATTTCAGCAGCGAAATGTTTTTTGTACCAAGTGATTCTCTAGTAGCAGATACCATCTCCTATCTCTATAGGAGGCCCAAAGAATTCACATACTTAAGTACAGGAGAATGAGGTAGGATGGGCTGAGTCATACACTCAGGGATGAAACAGAACTATGTTCTCCACCACGTGAAGTGCACAGGACAACCTTCTCTCTGCACACAGATTGTGTCGTAGGGAGCGTGTGGGGCTCCTGAGAATCCTGCAGAACCTACTGCAGAGAGAGATCAAAGTGCTGACCACCTCAGATTTGAAGAGTCACAGAGATGCCCCATAAAGTTCTAAAAATCTCTGAGTCTTTGCCTTCTGCAGCACTTCCTTCCAGCTTGTGTGCAAAATAGCCGGCATCATATTACCCCCAAAACAACTTCTACAGTCTTCTAAAGGCTTGTGATTGACATAGATTATTTAATAGCTGGTATGACAGCTTTGAAGGCTGTGATGTGTATAGCCAAAAAAGTGAGCTCAGAGGCTTTACATCCAAAAGTCACTGTTTCAGAGAGGAAAAAAGAAATTACTCGAGGCAGCACAGTACGAGACAAGGATGTTGTATGCAAGACCTAACAGTGCAGGTAACTTGGAAGTAGGATGCTTTGCTCTGGAAAGTTTCTTTGCCTTAACAGATAAGTTTCTGCAGTCTGTGTCTGAGCCAGAAAAAACACCCTCTTGAAAAGCCTAGGACTGAGAAAAGGCATACAGCACGCTCTGTGTAGAACTAGAGGTGGTGCAGTCTCTTGATAACTGTTCTAAGAGGACCAATTTCTTCTTCTCTGCTCTGTGCCAGGACTGGGAAGGGAACATTCGCTACGCGCAGTATAAGCAGTTCACCCTGAGCAACGAGTTGAACAGCTACCGGCTTTTTCTGGGGAACTACACGGGCAACACCGGGCGTGACTCCCTGAGGTACCACAACAACACAGCCTTCAGCACGAAAGACAAGGACAACGACAAGTGTGTGGACGACTGTGCCCAGTTCCGTAAAGGTAAAACACAGATAAACACCCTCCTGTCCCGAGAGCTGCCCCAGTAACTTGTAGAGAGCCCAGGGCACCCCCTTGCAAAGTTACTCATCAGGAGCATCTGGATGGTGGCGCAAGGGAGAGGTGGCAGATTCTGGAACAGACACTTACCGGTTTTGTGGGAAATCTGGCAGTTAATGCTGCTTTACACAGAGCCAGGCTATAGGTAACACACGTCAGTACTCTTCAGGTGATTTAATGTTTGCTCTCACCTCCTCATACTGTTATCCAGCCCACGATATGGATCTGTTAAACTGCCAGATTATCTCAGATGTTGATGCAATTCAGTAATGGAGGGAGTTATTCCTGCATATATGTAAGGTTTTTATTTTTTCTTCTATTTTTATGAAGTTTTGAGTTCTAGTATCAGGGATTTGTAATTATCCTTCTATATTAATAGCCTACATGCACCTTAAGGTTCAACCTGAATTCTAATCTTTATTCCTACTCTATTAAGAGCCTCTAATGAGGTTACTCTCTTCATTCAATCTATTATCTTTAGATGAGGTCTGTCACAAATACAATTGTCTTCACTAAGCCTTGCCCTTTATTTTTAATTTCCCAATTGTGCCCCCATGTGACAGGCAAATAACATTGATATCAGCCTCAATAAAACAGCGCAGCTTACTTCCAGAGTCCAGAAACCTTTTAAACACCTTAAGACGCTGAAGCTAAGAACTCTGATTAGTTTCCTATGCTAACTCTGAGTCAGAGACAGAAGCATGTCAAGGAAATACTCTAGGAGGAATAAGCAACTAAATGAAAAGCCACTGGACTAATTTGACTATGGTAAAGCTTTTATTTATTTATGATCTGTGTCACATTTTGAATTTACCTGCAATCCCAGCTATTAGGGCCATAGGGATTAAATGCTGCTTTCTGCTCACTCTCCTCCAGAAAGAGCAATAATTCTTCCTATTAATACAAAGCACACCCATTTTAAGTCGATGGCTCACTGGGAATCTAATAATTCATTCTCTGAACAGGTGGATACTGGTATAACTGCTGCACAGATTCCAACCTGAACGGGGTTTACTACCGCAAAGGAGAGCACACCAAGAACATGGACGGCATCACCTGGTACGGGTGGCACGGATCAACCTATTCATTGAAGAGAGTGGAGATGAAGATCCGGCCCGAGGATTTCAAACCGTAGAGGGGACCGATATTTGATTGTACATGATGCCACTGCACAGAAGGTGGGCAACGGACAGCTCAAAAAACCAGCCAAATCATTGTTCATTTCATCTAATTTGTGCAACAGCTCCACACTGGCTATGCACACGCACAACCACCCAGGCACAGCAACTATTGTGATCAGGACTCAAACTTGTCTCTTCTCTTAAGGCTTTTTCCAAAGGGAAAAATACTGTGTTAGAATAGGTTAGAACAGACTGCAGTTACAGCACCTTGAGAAAATCTACCGGCGTGTTTTCGCTGGCATTGTGACTAGTGGGTTGCCCAATATTAACCAGCCAGAGACTGAAAAAAAAAGAAATCCTCCTTGTTGCCTTTCCCTCAGTGTCTAGAGCAAGCATTGCGGAATAACTCTTTCCAAGAGGGATTCAAATCACAAAAATGACATACTCATTTCGAACTAGAGGAATCAATCACCAGTGCCCCTGATGCACCTTTCTTCAGCGTATATTAAGAGGCTTACATTCCCACAGAGTTAATGAAAAGAAGCTCAGAAGTTCTGGATTAATTGGTATTGCCCAGGTTCTCTCCTGATGTTTTACTGCCACCTCCTGCTGCTGCCTTGAATAAGCTCCCACCAAGGGCTGCACCCAGCAGACAATAACCCTGGAGAAAGGATTTAGGATGCTTATTCCTATCCAAAGATCACCTAAAGGTTGATTAACTAGAAAGCAACTTCCTAGGGTGCCACAAAATTATGTTCAGGTTAGGATGTGTGCTGTATGTCAGTCGGACTCAGAGAGAACAGCAGGTTAGCAAAAAAAGATCCAGGTCACGCCACCAGCCAAAAGGCCTCCACTCCAACACTTCAAACCACTGTATCCATGAGCAGAACACCAGTACGCACCCAAGAATCCATAACAGCCAAGACTAAGTTTGCCAGCATACGGTACTGAGGAACAGGACAATCTGTTCTGAAGAATATCCCAGCTACCTAGAGATACGGCAAAAACCAGTGTATGTTTCTCCCTTACATAACACAGTGTTAAAAACAAGTTTAAAAAGAGAGAGAGGCTCCTCCTTGTAGCCATATCGCTGTTTGAGTATTTGGAAAAGATAGGTATAGTTAATGTATCTAATTTTATTCATCTTGAAGAGAGTTTGAATCTAATTTAAACTGTTCAGTCTTGTTTGAAATGGGAGATAAAGGTGTCCCGGGAATTGTCTTACATATATTTGACTATTCATACTGTAAATTTCAACTGCGTTGAACTATGGTTGGAACAACTTGAACTGCGGTCTATAAAATGGATTTTTAAAGGTTTCTAAACTTTTTCATCTCTAATAAATTGTCTTTCATTTTTAACCCTGATTTACTTCAAGTCTTTGCCCCTTAACTTGCTTTTTCGTACACAAAGAAACAGCTGCACCAGTGACAGAGGACAAGGAATGGAATACGCTGAATTCTGTATTTTCCTCAGAAAAATAAGAGAGGACAAAGGATGAAAGAATAAGAGAGGGGGAAAAAAGAGGAAGGCACAACTCTAAGGAAGTAGGAGGGTTTAAAAATTCAGTGGAAACAGACAAAGCTTTTGCTCAGCCAAAAATCAATCTGTCCACCACAAATGGCAGAGTTAACATTTCTGTGATATGAAATCAAGATTCGTAATTTAGAACATGTAGTTTAGTACCAAATCCTGCTCAGCTATTTCAGGCTAACATTTTCCTTATAATATCTACTATTTGATATACGAAGAATGGACCTACAAAGCTAGATGATACAAGTGCGGAAATCTCATCAGTTGCTGTCCTACCTGATGAGAGACTCTAGAATGGCCGGGGTGGGACCCTTTTGAAATTCCAGCTCCTTGTAGTGAAGGGCTTTGGCATATGCTCGACATTTCGCAGCTCTTTCCCCCAGGAGGACAACGCCATTATCGTCCCTCAAAGGCAGTGGACCCTGGGTAGAAGCACATACATCAAAAGCAGGATAAGTGTGAAAAAAAAAGGTGAAAAAAAAAAAAGTACGCATAGAATCCTAGAATGGCCTAAGCTGGAAGAGACCTTAGAGATCATCTAGTCCAACCTCCCTGTCACGGCCAGGGACACCTCTCAACTAGATCAGGCTACTCAAGCCTCCGTCCAGCCTGGCCTTGAACCCCTCCGGGGAGGGGGCAGCCACAACGTCTCTGGGCAATTTATTCCAAGGTCTTGCCGCCCTCGTACTGAAAACTTCTTCCTAAGATCTAATCTAAATCTATTCTCGTTCAACTTAAACCCATTTCCCCTTGTCCTATCGCTGGACACTCTTGTAAAAAGTCCCTCCCCAGCCTTCCTGTAGGTTCCCTTCAGGTATTGGACGGCAGCTCTTAGGTCTTCCCGAAGTCTTCTCTTTTCAAGACTGAACAACCCCAGCTCCCGCAGCCTGTCCTCATAGCAGAGCTGCTCCAGCCCCTGGATCATCCTTGTGGCCTCCTCTGAATACGCTCCAACAGATCCACGTCCCTCTTATGGTGGGGACACCAGAACTGGACGCAGGATTCGAGGTGGGGTCTCACAAGAGCAGAGTAAAGGAGGAGAATCACCTCTCTTGACCTGCTGACCACGCTTCTCTTGATATGTCCCAGGACACGGTTGCCCTTCTGGGCTGCAGGAGCGCCCTGCCGGCTCTTGTTGAGCTTCTCATCTACCAACACATCCAAGTCCTTCTCTTCAGGGCTGCTCTCAACTCACTTTGTTCCCAGTTTGTATTTGTGCCTGGGATTGCCCATTTTACGATTCTAAGAATTTTCCCATCCTTTCCATAGACTAGGCAACAGCCAGCATTAGAAAAGAGTTGCCTAAGAGCACCCCTACCTTGTCACTGTGTTCCATGAATTCTGCCAAGTTCAGCAGTGTCTGAGTGACTTCTGCAATGTCCTGAGAGGTCAGGGCCAACTCAATGCTTCGGATCAGCTCATCCTGCTGGTCTTCATTCAGTTCAGACCAGCATGAAACAAAAGCAGCGTTGAAGAGATCTCTGAGGAGAAAAACAAAAGAGAGCGAGAGGTGGGGATTAATTATTCATGAGAAAAAGTCTATCTGAGGGCAGACTGGCCTTCGTATTCAAGAAAGAGAGCTACAAAACGCATTTATAAGTCTACCCGCAGTGGTGATCAGCTTTTATAAAAGTAAATTCTGTACCAAATACCTAGTGAAACCTGCATTTTAAAAATATATAATTGGATGGGATACTACAATAGTAGAAATATTGTCCTATCATATGCCAGCAAGTATTTTAGGCTAGAATAAACTCTTCATAGCAGTGAGGATGCTCCTCTCTTCTGCTATGAAGAATGAGGCCTAGTCTGTCTTGGACCACAAATGAATGTAGTGAAAGGAGGAAAAGTGATGAAAACCAGATCCAGGAACAGCCTTTGTCACTGCTAATGCCGTGGAGAAATGCTGCAGGATGTATAAATGGATGTATACATGAAAGACATTACCTCTGCCTACCTAGGAATTGCTGACTTTTCATTGCACTATTTGCCCTTCTATTTCAAAAATGCTAAAACTCACATTAAGACAAAATTAAGCCAGGAATGGACACTTTTCGAACACCAATAGTCAGGTTCATATGCTCCGAGATGACAAGTGCATATCATGAAGAAGAGATAAGCAGGCAACTGCTTACTGAAACTCAAACTTTCTCCAGACATACCAGTTGCAAAGGAAATGAACCACTGTGGATTATTCCACTCAGAGGGATTTTTATCCACCCACAGTAGGTCCTCAAAACCATTTCATACTCCCTTGTTTTCCCAGCTTCACTTTTATGTGCCTTAAGTTATTTCTAGACTAATATGCAGAATTCCACTGAAAGATTTTGCGCACGTCATGGAGCAGTCATCTGGGAAGGGTGGGAATGAAATCAAGTTGCCAGCTATTAGATTTGTCCCATAGCAGGAACTATCTCTATTTATGGAACCTAAAAGCTTTTAAGTAACTTTCTCCTTCTAATAGCTGGCTTGCATCTGCAATTTCAAACGATCTGAAAAAACGCAGGATTACTCTACCGAGCCATGGGATTATATGCCTGAGCCAAGGCCCAGCACGAGCGCAAGGATGGCGACGAGGAATCTTTCAGCAGCTCTAAACTCAGTCTTCTTAACCATTCCAACCAGTCATCTTTGGAAACTCTTCTTGCTGCTCCCCAGGCCTGCAGTACAAAGCAAGACAACTGAGCTACCAAATGAAGTGCTATACAAAAGCAAAACAATTCCACCAGCAGGCAGCATTACTGCTTTACAACTCCAAATCCCATTGCTGAGATTCCCTTTTCAATTCCCTGAGATCCGTTACCTTTACCAGATAACTCGCAGTACTTCAGTCTCATTTCTAAGAAATCTTCCCTAAATATATTCCTGGCATGGCACGTCAAGTATTTAACAGGAATAATTCTTCCCCTACAAAAATATATCAAGAGCTGAAGCCATTGTGAAACATCAGCTTAACAATACTTAATATGTTTGGAATTAAAATTATTAAATCCAGCACTTTCAAACTACTCCATCCCAGTACTGGACTCAGTGCTACATGCTTTTACTGTTCAAATTAGCCAGTGCTTAGCCATTAAGTTCTATATTGGCTTCGAGAGAATATAGTACTAAGATATAAGAGAACTAGCTCATAAAAAAAAGGCAGAGGCTCTAAAACAGGTGTCTCTAAAAGCTACCGATGATTCCCTGCGATCTATGAAGTTTAGGTTGTCATAATTCACATGAACAAGAAAGCATCAAGATTCCTTCATTAATAATAGTGTGACAATTCAGCTGCTTCTATTTTTCAATTTTATAGAGAGCCTCAAACATTACTTTGACCTCAGATTTATACAGAAGTGGCAACAGAAGAGAGATGTAGATAAACGTAGTTTAGATGCGCTGGGCAAACTCTGTAGATGTGACACAATCACTCCTCCCTTCAGCAGCAAACTTGTGCTGTGCAGCGCTCCAGTCTTACCTTCTGCAGGTTGATGGTGCT